CTATATATATATATATATACATATATATATCTTAAATATATGCTGACATACCAAGCCTTTTCATTGAAAAAAAAAACCTAAAATCCAGAAAAGTTTATCAATAATTTTTTTAAATGGCAAATTATATTATCAACATAATTTGAGTACAAAGTGAAAACGTTATTTCCAAATTTACCTGAAGTAACTCCCAGATTTTAATGATATGTATATTGCTGTTAAAGATATGCTCGCGTACCAAGCCTTTTCATTGAAAAAGATCTACAGAGTCCAAAAATCTGAGCGCATTACTGAAAATTTTCCTAATTTGCATTTTATTAATTAAATTATTATTGCAAACTATATATATATATATATATATATATATATATATATATATATATAACATATTCAGAAAAGTTTTATTTTTTTAATTGAAAATGATATTATCAACATAATTTGAGTGAAAATTTTAATTGAATTTTTTTCTATATACTTTTTTTTTTCTCTGAAAATGTTATTTCTGATTTACCTGAAGTAACTCACATATTTTAAATGCCTTTCAAAAGGCATATGGACTCCACTGTACGCATGAAAAGAAATCAAGAATAAGCAAAAGCTCATAGTTAAAAGGTCAAACTAAATCCCCACATTCACTCCTGTGTGCCTGCCCAGATAATATATGTTGGGTCAAGTGCGGCTGCTCTGTGTAAGTCGGGTTTGAAAGTAGTATCTCTGCTATTGAACACGCATAAAGCCGGACTACGCAATGAGGCGCTCCATCCCTGCAAGGCTTGGTGCCCTTCTATGCAACTGACCTGGTGGTTTGATATGTGATGTAGACTGTAATCACTGCCTTTTAGACACTGTGAATTTTTGGTACTCTATATTTTTGTATATTGTACATTGTAAAAGATAATAAACCTTGATGCCAACCTAGTCGTAACTTAAGCTGTTTCGTCCTTTCCCAACTACTCCCACACTACATCAATCTAGGTCACCCCACTGTCTCCCGCAGAGTGAAAGGTAAGCGTTTTCAAATTGTCATGTTTTTCAATCTAATGTCAGGATGGCTATCATACACTCCCATTTGTATGTGTAGGGATTTGTTTGGCAGGCTGAGGGAAATTGGACCTAAATGCTGACAACACGCGCGCACCGTTTTCCCTTCACACAATCCCTCCTCTGAGAGAAAAATGAATGTTGGTCTTTGACATGATACAGTGTTTGCCCTTTTCACTCAAGACCTGATGGCATAAATATTGAAGTTGGCATGGCTATACATGATTTACCCAGTGAGCGTGAGGAGCTTATTCACTGCAAGTCTATCTCATTTTTAAAGAAGACGGTCTAGAGCTGATAAGAACTGGCTTTAAAGTCTCTTTTTAAATGGGTGTTTAGATGATCAATAATTTTAACGTATTGCATTTGCTCCATTCAGTCAAAGGAATAGTTCACCCAAAAACAAATTCTGTCATTTTCTGTTCACCCTCATGTTGTTTCAAACCTGACTTACTTTCTTCTCTGGAACACAAAAGTAGTACTATTTTAATTGCAGTACAGGCTGCTCTTTTCCATGAAGTTACAATGAACTGGATCTTTGAAGTTGATTACAAAAAAAACATAAGAAAAGTGTAGTGCTTCCAACTAATGTGCTATATTCTTAGCCTTTTTGTAAGAAAATCAAATTTAAGCTGTAACTCACTGAAAATATTAACCTCCAGTTCCACTGTGATTGGATCGAGTTGAATGCAATCAGATCATCTAAACACCCATTTAAAAAGAGACTTTAAAGCCAGTTCTTATCAGCTCTAGACCGTTTTCTTTAAAAATTAGATATATTTGCAGTGAATAAGCTCCTCACGCTCACTGGGTAAATCATGTATAGCCATGCCAACTTCAATATTTATGCCATCAGGTCTTGAGTGAAAAGGGCAAACACTGTATCATGTCAAAGACCAACATCCATTTTTCTCTCAGAGGAGGGATTGTGTGAAGGGAAAACGGTGCGCGTGTGTTGTCAGCATTTAGGTCCAATTTCCCTCAGTCCAGTTTGTGAATGAATCATTTTTAGGTTTTGTGAACTGGATCAAACTATTCATTGAAAAGACCTGACTCAAAAGAAAATGTAATTCAATAATTAAACATTGCTTCCCTTTCATGGGAACTTCGAACTGCGTCCTCTAGGGGTCGCTATGGGGAACGCCTCGTCGTGACCCGTGTCTGAAGCATACATTGAAAAAACACCAACTCGTTGGCCGGCGACAGCCATGACGTCACTACCGGTGCGACTACAGTATAAATAGACGCCGGGAGCACACACCTGTATGGTAAGGGTTACGCATTATTGATCTCGTTCCCTTTCTCTGAGTTGGTTTAGACCCCGGTACCTTGGGCTCCACTCAACTAGTGTGTCTCTGTCGACACACTGGAAGCATCGCTCCCCTCACCATTGAGGGTTATTGTGAGTAAGGTGCTTTCTTTTGAGCGTTAATCCTCTCTGCGGAGTTGGATTCCTCGCTCCATGGGCTGTCCTCGTGGTAGTATTGAGCAGTGCTCCCCTCTTATCAAAGGGTTACCTGGAATGAGCAACATTATTCCTCTGAATTCGGAGTTCTCCTCTCACATGAGAAGTTTGAGTTCTCTGTTTCTCCAGAGCACCTGGAACCAGCAGCATCAGGTGAATTAGGCCCTTCATCTGCCTCCCTGATGCGCTGAGTGTTGGCTAGCTTGCAGTATGCTTACCCTTCTGATTTTACAAGTGCCCAGGAACGGGGTGATGTGAAGATTTTCAGTGAACAATGACTTCTGGTCAACACAGAGCTATTATGTGCCTACAGAAGTGGTATGAACCACTTTTATGATGCTTTTGCATCCTTTTTGAAGTTTGAAAGCTCCATTCCCCAATTGGTCAAGTGACCAATTCCAGTCCATTACTAAGAAAAATCCATTAAAAAGTTTTGCTTTCATGTTTTGAATGACATTAGGGCCCATAAATGGTGACAGCATTCATTATTGGGTGAACTATGTGTGTTCTGAGAGACTGAGATGTTTTTCCAAGCTCAGAGTAAATTATGTCATCTTCCCCTCATAAACAATACATAAACCTACTGTTCCTCAGCATAAAAGCCAAACTTATCTAAATCTAGCCCTCTCAGTCCAGCAGGGCAACGCTTTGAGACGGAGGGTGAAGGCCAGACCCCGTTGCGCTTCAGCGGGAGGGCCTGGTCGCTGCACAGCACTGCAATCATTTCAAAGTGGGTTTTATTGACAAGCACAAGGCTCCATCCATCACCCGCTATCTGCTGACAGACTGCCACTGACAGATGACCACCACGGTCCTCTCCTGAGTGGCCAGTTGGCGTAATGCCAGGAAAGCACAGTATGCTGACGGTAGAGGCCGAATCTGCGGCCCATCAGGGAAGAGCAGTGGCAAGGAGTGAGACAGATGCTTTTGTGGGTGGTTCTGCAAACCTCGTGGAATCAATTTGTGCTGCTGTCAGCACAGAGTCTGGGGCTGCGTTTACACTTGGCATTAACATGCGACCTGTATCCGGATGTACGCCGCCCCCTTTCTCCCGAACTGTCAGAAGAACAGAGCGCTAGTGATACTTGTACATTTATTTTGATTTGTAAAATGTCCCGCGACTGAAAATAGTTTTCAAAAGAAAACCTACCACTTCAGGTCGACTTTGCACCGCGGACTTATTTAAATATTGCGCGGGAAATACAGATCCGATCGGTTATCCAGATCGAGAAGTCAGCTGATGTTGCCAAGTGTAAACTTAAAAAAGCATCATATGACCCCTTTAACACACCTGGTATGAAGGGTAATCCTCTCATAGTCTCACATGGAGTCTGAAAGTTGACGAAAAAGGTGATTACAAATCCATTGTCATTGTCTTGGAAATGTAAACTTTGGATTCATGTTGGTTTCATATTTGGGAAGAAAAAAATTAGACAAACATTTTAAAACAAGTAAATGTCAAATGAAGTCCTACACATCAGGGGTGTCAAACTCAATTCCTGGAGGGCCGGAGCCCTGCAGAGTTTTGCTCCAACACGCATACCATGTAGTTTTCAAATAAGCCTGAAGGACTTGATTAGTTGGATCAGGTGTGTTTGATTAGGGTTCAATCTAAACTCTACAGGGCTCCTGCCTTCGAGGAATTGAGTTCAACACCCCTGCTCTACAGGGTCTTCTCTGTGATAATTTCCTGTTTTTTGGTTTTATTGTCATTACCGCAAATTTAAAAAAAAATATTAATAGTTTAAAACAGATCTATATAATAAGGTTATATAAAATTGTATATAAATATTATAATGTAAATATATTTATATAAGTATTATATCATATGAGTTAATGCATAAACTTACATTAACAATGAGCAATCCATTTGTTACAGTATTTAATAGTTATTTTTAGTTCAATTAAATTCACATTTATTTGTATTGTGCTTTTCACGAGACATATCGTTTGAAATAGCTATACAGAAAATTATGTTCATGTTAGTTCAGCTCAGAAATTAGCTCAGAAAATTAACATTAAAATTCATAAATGCTTTAGAAGTATTTTTTTATTGTTAGTTCATAATGGAGTTCACTAATGTTAACAAATGT